AAACTGAATACAAAAGTGAGATAGTAACATCTGCCACGCCTCATTGCTTTTCTCTGTCTCCTCTCTCCCCACCTCTTTCTTTGCCGCTATCACAAAGGGACCCATAGGAGGATAGACCACCTGGTAACCATGGTTACAGAGATTGAGTGCCTCTTGTGAATACGCATTTACACATTCTCCCACGTACACACTCATAAATATCTCCTGTACCTGGTAAAGATTCAAAGAGTTCCCGAATACATCACCCAGGATGTGGAGGAGGAGAAACCAGCTTGTGTCTTTTTTGCAGGGAAAGATAATTTGGTGATTTCCCTACTGGTGTTACTCAAAGACATCTGGAGGGTCCAGTGGCCCATCTCCTTAACACTACACTGCAGAATCCAGTGTCAGCACTCATAATGACACAGGCTTTTCTTTATTTCTATTAAAAGTTAAGGAAAAGCCAAGGAACAACAGCAAACTGTGAATAATGTTTTGTTATTGACTTGGATGACTTAGACATGACAGAGTTGGGAGAACCGGAAGCCCGCAATGCCAAACAAAAACAGTTATTGCTAAACACCAGCTGTCAATTTCTATGTCCAAATGGGTCCAATTGTTTATCAAATGGTGTTTTTCTTTTTGGGACTCTGGTAGTTTATCCTAAGGTTGGAGTGCAGCAGCCGGCTGTTTCTCTTTCTAGGATATTATTGAGAAGAAGCTCTCACACCAGTGGTGTTCTGTTGCTAAATATGCAGAAAAATGCTGCGGTTCGGCAAAACCAACAACCGGACGGTCCAATAGTTGCTTTCAGTCCGAAACGTGTTATTGGTGGAAGTTTTGAGACAAATGTGAGAGAACCACATGATTAATATATATTTTTTATTTCAATCTCCACAATATATTTATAACTACAACATTGTTGCTGTTCAAATTTTTTACTTTATCTGATGGCACCATCTAGTGACTGACAAGCATAGCACAACACAACCTAGTTTCATTTCCGTATTTACGGCCAAAAGCAACGCCTCTTGTTTATGAGCGTCTCCTCTAAACAAGCAGTAGCCTAACGCTATTGGTTAGTACTGACCGGGGCTCAATTCATATTGCATGGAGCTCTATGGGACGGGGGCGGGACTAGCAAAAGAAAGACATATAGCCTACATTATATCACAGAGAAGACAATCCCTTTTATGGATTTCTAAAAAACCTGACATAATTTCTGAAAGGGGAACACTCAGAACAGCAAATTTAAGAGGCATGAAAAAAATGTTTTAAGCTAAATTGTTTTCCAAATTTGCTAGTGCAGCTTTAATGCAGAACAATAAAGCTAATAATAAAAGTATGTGCACTGCCTCCACATTGACTGAAATAATTTCTTCTAAAAAAAAAAAATATATATATATAAACGTCTAAACATCTATCTATCTGTGTCTGTCTGTCTGTCTGTCTGTCTACCTACCTACCTACCTACCTACCTACCTACCTATCATCCATCCATCTATCTATCTATCTATCTATCTATCTATCTATCTATCTATCTATCTATCTATCTATCCATCCATCCATCCATCCATCCATCCATCCATCCATCCATCCATCCATCCATCATCCATCATCCATCCATCCATCCATCCATCCATCCATCCATCCATCCATCCATCCATCCATCCATCTATCTATCTATCTATGATTCTAATTTAAAGTGCAGTGCAGACATAAAATGTACTAGTAAATGAAAAATAAATGACTTGTCCACGCCTATCTTGCATCTTGTGATTTGTGTGGTCTGGTTGAGCGTGTGTCTCAAGTTCAAAGCATAAAGGGCTTGTTTATATGCATAGAGATGGATGGAGAGCAGGGAGGAATGCAGAAAATCCACCTTTATCACTCTTTATTGTGATCATTTTTCCAAGAGCTGATAGCAGCTTGTGAGACACGATCCCAACATGCCAACACTAGCTCGGTAAGTCATAACCAGCAATTTTCTGTCTGAATAGACAATGAACCCTTTTCAGGCTCAAGTGAGAGGAGTGTGTTTCCTCTGATGTGGCACTTCAAGGTCAGTGGAAATACTTTGACACATGCACCAACAAATATCTCAATTTAAGAGCTGCTGAATGAGTGGGAAATACGAAAAGGGAAACAAAAACTATGTTTGCTGTCAATATGAATTTGTTGTATTGTTTCTAGACTGAGTTTTTACTTTGGAAATAGATTTCTTATGGTCAGGTCATGTGGAGCTCTGGATGTTATTGTAAATGAACAGCTTGTTCCCACACAAACCTTTGTCTTGCATTTTTGTCACTTCATTAGGTCTTTATATGTTTGCTACTTACTTTTGTTCCATTTACAACTTAGTCATGTTTAGTCTCACCTCTCTTGCATTTTCGGACTCACTGGAGCTCATTTGAGATGGGGTCCAGACAACAGTGGTGATCATTAAAAAAGAAAAAACTGCACATTTTTATACAACATACAATTACGGCCCAACAAAAGTTTCACAATACTTTGGAAGTCTCCTCTCTTGATGACATTCCTCATCATCAGTTGCAGCTAGCGCTGGCCGATATGGCCTAAAATCAATATCACGATATATTGAGGATTTCACCTCGATAACGATAAATGGACGATAACTACAGGTATGCGCAGAAACAAAAGTTGTCCACTAGATGGGGCTGTCACATGTATCACAGTGAGTCCCATTTCTATGTGACTCAAGGTGGTACAACTTCTTAAAGGAACATGAATGTTGCCAACCTTCATACATATTTTCATTTTTTATTATCAAATTTATTGACATGGGAAAAATTATCACGATAAGAGTCAGGAATTTCGATACATTTTCGATTTATTGCCCAGCCCTAATCGCAGTCCAGTGAGTGAAATACTGGCCAAAATGTTTTGATGGTTGAGAAATCATTCTAATCCTCGAGAAAACAACTAAAAGAATCATTTGAGTGAGAAGTTCTGCCGTTACTCATACATTCAAATGAGCTGCTCTAACTTTGCACGTAAAAAATTTCACAAAAGATGATATTTTTTGTGAAAGGCCTAATGTAGTTTTTTTTCTAAATCACAATGTTATTTTACTACCACGACATCAAAACACCTTTACATCCTGCCCATTATAAGTATTGGAGTCATGTGAATTAAAGGGACACTTTTTCATATTATTCAATCATTGGCCCAATCCCAATACTCACACATCCACACTTGCGTCCTTCAATTGCGCTATCGGGCGCCCCGTTTCTCAAGTGCGGAAGTTGATTGCGTCCTTTTTGAACTACACTTCACCCAAGTCTGCATCGATGTGGGTGATCAGGGTGAAGAGTATTACCCACAATCCATTGCTGCAGGAGAAAAGGCTCAAGCTCCTTTTCTGAACATATGTATTTTCTAATGACAGTCGTTAATTAAGGACAATTAGTTGATGCTCTACGATATTTAGACAAAGCAGCAACAAATGTAAAACTTTTTCAAATAATTACTTGATTGGTTGAAAGTATCACAGCGACCACCATCCCGGCATGCGCTGCGACCGATGACGCAATGCTCTTTGTCTCAATTTTGCAATTATTCCATGAAGCGCATTTGTAGTCCTGGACTTATCTTCCAACAAACCTAAAATTGTGTTTCCCCCGTTCGAAAATGATCGCTTTCTTGGCATCAAAACGCTTCTTTAAAATTCACGGACATCACATGTGAAATCCATGGAACATAACAAGGGGAATTAGAAAACAACGTTTTTAGCCCCACTGACTTGCATTCATTTTTTCGTTATTCCGCGGACCCATGGTCCGGAAGTACATGGGCGTGACTTAGGCTCCCTATAAAAAATATGGAATCGTAAATGTTCTCTGTTCAATAAAAAAATTATAAAAAATCATAAATGTATGCAATAAAATGAGCTTAGTTTAATCTTCAAAAATTTAAATAGCACATTTTCTATACCCAACAAACATTGGTCCGACACCAACGTGGTGTCTATGTCCAACAATGGTCGCAGTAGAACGGCCCGAATTTGTAAAAAAAATAATATAACAGAACATGTCTTAAAAATCCATTCAGATATATTTGTACATGCCTACAGTTATATGTATAATTGTTATTTTGACAATTAGTTACATCTAGTTCAACATAGCATCCCAGCAAATATTGGTGCGATGGCAACATCGTGTCCACGGCCCAAAATAGTCACGGTAGGACCCTACAAAACATTGGTCCGGCGGCGACGTAGTGTCGACGGTCAAAAATGGTTGCGGTAGGTCGGTCCAAATTTTAAAAAAAATTGGACATAACATTTCCTAAAAATCCACTCAGATTTGTAGTTACATGTATAATTGCTACATGTAATTCACGTCCAGAAAAGACGTCGGTTCAACTTTCATTTTGGAACTATTGTTCAACCATGACGGGACATGTCGGCCCGACGTCTTTTCAACGTTGATTAAACGTCCAAGTGTTTGCTGGGTATTCACTTGAACAGTTCCAAAGCTCAGAGGGTTCCCTGGTTCTCACTATGACACCATGTTTTATGTATGTGCACAAGCACCATGAATAAGTCAAGAAAAAATGAATAATCTTAGTTTATTTTTACATCCCTGTTTTTGGGACGACCTGGTTGTTAGTTCATCATTTATCCCAACTGAGTTGGAAAAAACTGCTGTGAGCAGCAGAAACAGTAGTGAAACAGTAGCAGAGAGGGGACAGCTGAATCCATCTCTCTCTACTAACTCTCCCTCTGGGTTTTTCCTGCTGGCACTAAATATGTGCAGGCTGCACAATTTTTAAATCTCCACCATGCCAATGAACCATATGTTTGGAAATCCATTTGTTAATTAGTTGTGTGTGCATGTGGACAAAAGTGTGTTTGTGTTGTGTAGAACCAGAAATGTATTTGCACAAGGATTGGGCAAGTACTCCCCCCGTCCACATGTGCATGTGGGCGTATGTTTGTTAATGTTTATTCCTCTATTTTTGCATGTCTGTCTGTGCATTTTTGTGCATATTTGACTCACCACTCTCTTCACCAGATGCTTCGCAGCCATCTTCATCATCACAATCATCTCCACTGCTTCCATCTATCTGTGTGCTCTTGCCATCCTCTTCCTCTCCCCTTCCTCTCCCTCTGCTTGCCCAGCCAAGTTGTGCTAAGAGCTCCTAAAAAACACATTTTATACAAATGACAAAGTAGTTCTTAGAATAAATTTACGGCCGATACTGGCATTAAAATGCAATCTCAGAAATTATCGGTATGATGACACAACGTTTACATACCATGCACATATACGTCAAACTCTTAATTGAATCATTCACCACTGATGTCCTCTGTGCTTGTCGTGACCTCGCCCACTCTGGTTTTACATCTAATGTTAGGTTCAGATTTCATTACAAAGAACAAAACAACTTTTATTGCAAGTGTGAAAATACAGAACACCAAAAACCTGTAAGGCTTTCATCCTCAGACAAGAAAATCTAACTGCTTCACAAAATTATGAATGAATGAAGGGGGATAATATATTGATTCCAGCTGAAGGTAAATATACGGCAAACAGCCTTGCAAAGTAAAAAATACCTTGTACTGACAGTTTATTTTTCACTAAAATTGTGTTTTCATATATGAAGCAACTCTGGAGGAACATAATATCTGTCAATATGATTTATTTGACCTTAAACTGGTGAAATCTGCGGCGGAATAAACGTTAAAGAAAAGCAAAACTTAAAGTCAAGCCGTTTTGATTGATGAAATGTTGATGCTAGACAAGAATAGATGTACTGAAAATGCTTCTCTCCACTTCAGCTACCACCACCCAAATACAGGTGCAAGTGGAAAATTCTGAATATGGTTCAAAAGTCCCTTTTTTCAGTTAATCCAACTTGGACTATGAGACCATTTAAAGTAACCCTGCAGGTGATTTATATTAATTTGCTGATTAGAGTGTGAAACATTGAGCATTGAAAATTGAACCTTTCCACAATATTCTAATTGTGTGAGAATTTAAATTTGGGGTTTTCAGAAGCTGTAAACCATAATCATTTAATTAAAATAAATAAAGTAGGGGTGGGACTCGATTCAAAAATGTATCTAATTAACTTATTAACTGCCATTGACGACAAAAGTCGTCATTTTACATCCAACCGTTTACTGCCAATCACGACTAAAGTTGTCATTTGCATTTTTTTTTTTACTGTGTGGGCGTCGGAACGAGCCCCCGCATCGTGAGAGCAAACATCCCAGCTCTAAGGCTGATCTTCATCTGCGTACGTCACACGTCACGTGATCAGGAAGCAGAAGATCCATGTGTAAGGAGATCTTTTTGGGCCGCTGCTGTAAAAAAAAGTGAGGAGCAAAGCGGAAAAGCTTCTGCCGAATAAAATTCCACAACGAATTATGAAAGAACGGATAACGCTCGAAATGCGCTGATTCTTCCAGATGTAAGAGGTGAGTCTCCTCTTTGTTTTGGTAGTTTTGGTGTCGACATCATCCTAGCACGCAACGTTCTGTGACTCTTAAAAAACAGTGCATGGGTTTCAATAAAAACAATACCTCCGTGGGGGCGTTTAGTGGTGTGCAGAAAGAAGGTACAGTATTTCCTTTAAAATCTATATTTTAATTAAAAAAAGAATCAAACCTGTAGGAACCCTGTTTTTGACCTGCTCCAGACTAGTGAATTTCAACGCAGCAGCAGCGATGACATTTCAGGTCCTCTCCTGTTCATACTGCAGGTAACTAATCAACTAACACCGCCTATCATGTTAGTGTCATTTACCTTATTTACACCTCCACATTAGCAGACTCCAGTGACAAAAGTCCCACCTGTGGTGAGATCTGGTCCATTATGCAAAAGCTACAGCAACACTACATCATACAAGAAAATGACTCTGCCTTTACAAGGAGCATCTTTACAAATGATACCAGGTTCAATTGACAATTTATCATTAATAAACTTATAGTTATATTGCAGGAGACTGTGTGCAATTACTTGAACTACTCAGGTATTAATAAGGAATTGGATTGATAGATGTAACAATGGCATTGATATTGATAAAAAATGATCAATTCCCACTACGGCTGGATAATATATCGGCATCAATATCGACCGATGTTAGTCATTTTTTAACATATCGGTATTGGTTTGATAAATAAAACCGAGCCGATATTAACAACCAACATTTTTTCCATCTTGTCTCCATATGTTTGCCTGTTTCAGAGGGTGAGGGGGGTGATGTGTAATTGTTTAATCATGTGAACAGTGAATGAAATCATCTCAGAACCGTAAATGTGTGTGTTGTGTGTACATAATAACGTAAATTCAGCTTTACATTTTTCCATTCTATACAAAATCTGCTGATTTTAGAAGCATTAATGTCAGTATATCGATATCGCCAAATATCGGTTATCGGCCATAACAGTGATCTTAACTCATTCACTGCCAATGACGACTAAAGTCGTCATTTGCATTTTTTTTTTGTGTGGGCATCGGAACGAGAAAATTAAAGTTATTAAAAGCCTGTATAAGCTCTGAAATGACAGAAAACGTTGGTCCAATTCGCCATTTCCCCCCCTTTTTCACAAATCTGCTGGGTAGACATTTATTCCTACTTAACAGAAAGTTCTGGACCCTTCACTCAGAAAAAAAATGTAAGGCTTTCAAACTTCTGGAAACCTACGATTATTTTGTGTCAAGGAAGCTTTGGTTGATCTCTTCTGAAAACAGAAAGCGGTGGTCGTGCTAATAGCTAATAGCAGCAGTTCAGTCCAACAAGCAGAGCTACAGCGTTATTCACATCACCTGTGAGTGATGGCCAAAGAAAATGAATAAATCCTCAGCGACTGCAAAGCCGGGTAAGTCTTGATTAAACAATGTCCGCTGCTGCAGGAATCCAGGCTTTTTTCTAAGTATCCGGGTCGCTCGCTATCATCTCTTTCATATTTTGCGGTCGTTTAAAGTGGAAATTCCAATAAAACTTTTTATCAAGCATCCCACGGGCCAAACAATCAACCACACAACAAGAATAATCCATCTGCTATGCTAAATCCTCCTCCAAACATGCAAACAACCAAATCATGAGCAAAATACGCTGTTTCTTGCCACACAATCTCGTGATGCAATGTGAGAAACAAACATTGACATCACAAAAGATCCTCCTGTAGTATGCATGTAGATCCTACCCCTCGAGTGAGAGCCATCGATGGGCCGTGTCCATACTATCACATCACATTGATAGGATGGCTTGCCAGGCTAAGAACTCAGGGTATCTGCAGTAAATGACCCATGGCCATTAAAACTCAAGCTTTAGCTAAATAACTGTAAAATCAACTGATTTATCAATTTCTGTGTTTTTTAGGTCTGTTAACTCTGGTGGCCATCTTGAATTGACAGATTATGTCTCTGTCATTCTGAGAGGATTTAAAGGCAGTGGAAAAAAGAAAAATATTACATGCCAACATGTCCAAAGGGACACTGAGACAGAAGCTGTGTGTGTTGATTCACCATCATGCCGTTAGACTGCAAAAAAGGGGTCTGAGGGGGGGACAGAAAAAAATTACTGTCATGTCTCCACCACAAGTGCTTTCTTCAAGTGGAAAGTGTCCAGTTTAAACAGAATGTGGGCCATGTGGCGCTGGAGCTGCTCACAGAAACAAGCAAGAAAAAAAATCATTCAAGTTTGATAACTTTAAAAAGATTTGCCCAGTCGGTCTAATTAATGGTAGGAGACAGATTTAGGGAAGAGACGTGAAAAGGAAAGATTTTAAATCCGGTCTTTATTCCCATGAGTTGTCGTTAAGATCACTTCTTAGTGCCATGTTCTGTGTCCCTTTGTTCCCCAGCCCCCTCCTGTTCCCACTCCAGGCTCTCCTCTTGTGTCCTCCTAGTCACTCCCAGGTTTTCCTAGTTGTCTTTAGATTAGTCCTCCTCACCCATCTGTTTATTAGTGGTTTATTTTGCCCTCTGTCTTTTAGGTTTAGTTAGATCCATGTGTTATAGGTTGATGTTTATCTGCCCTCCTGTCAAGCTTTCCCTTCCCATTTAGTTAATTGGTTCCAGCAGTTTCTCCTCAGCCCTCACTCCTCACACCTGTCACCTGTTTCCCTGATTACCTCCCTCTTGTTTATAAGCCTCGTCTTGTCACTCTGTGTTTGTTGGATCATTGCATTCGTCAGCGTGTTCCTGTCCTCCTTGTCTTCCTGTTCCGTTCCCACGAATGAGTTTTCTGTTTGTTTTCGGTAAGGTTGAGTTTGGTTCATTTTTTTGTGCCCTTTGGATTTTGACATCTCAAACTTTAAAATAAAAGATTTATTTTATTGAAAACTTCTCCTGCCTCGAGTCGTTCGGGGTTCTGCATTTTGGTTTCCACCTCCTCCATCCTGACCGTGACACTTAGTCCTATTATCCCAAAAAGAGATTTCTGGAATGTCAAAACCCAAAGAGAACATTAAAAAACTAAAATTACAAAACAAATAATACAATTCAAATACAAATACAGGCCAACATTTCAAATAATAATATATATTATGTGTGTATATAGAACCCTGGGAGCTTAAGGGTTCTGCAGTATCTTAGCTGTTCCTAGAACTGTACTTTTCTGGACTGAGAGGTCTGATTTTTTTCCCTTGGATCTGCTTTAGCCACTCCTCCAGTTTGGGGGTTATTGCCCCGAGTGCTCCGATAACCATGGGCACCACCAATGTCTTCACTCTCCAGGCTTTCTCAAGTTCTTCTGAGGCCCTGGTACTTCTCTAGTTTCTCGTGTTCCTTTTTCCTGATGTTGCATCACTTGGTATAGCTACATCAACCACAACGGCTGTCCTCTGTTGTTTGTCCATCACCACAATGTCCGGTTGGTTCTCCATCACCATTTTGTCAGTCTGGGTCTGGAAGTCCCACAGGAGCTTGGCTCTCTTGTTCTCTACCACCTTAAGGGGTGTTTCCCCCTTTGACCTTGGCGCTTCCAGTCCATACTCTGGACAGAAGTTTCTGTACATGATGCCAGCATTTAGGTTGTGGCGTTCCATTTATGCTTTCCCTGCCAGCATCTTACACCCTGCAGTTATGTGGTGGATTGTCTCAGGGGCCTCTTTGCATAGCCTGCGCCTCTTCTTGTCTGGTGTTCAGACCTGTTCCTGTGCAGCCATGATGAGTGCCACTGTGCTGTCC